GAGAGAGAGAGAGTGAGTGAGTGAGTGAGAGAGAGACCTATAATAAGTATTCAGAAACTAAAATGCATTTCATAACTAAGTTAATAATATATTATTAAATGTTTATATAAAATCTCAGAAATATTTATACCATTTACTGTATATGAGTGGGCGAAAAATCAGTGCCGTTTCCTTAGCACATATGCCATCCCTTACATCCCAGTCCCCACTGACATACCGCTGCCTATTTTATCTATTTTTCCACTCAAAAACGTCTATTTACATAATATATATGGAAATCTCTCTAATATAGTATTAAATATATACACAAAAAGTGTATTGATTTCTTACACTCTAATTGTTTGGGGAATAAGTTTTTTATTTGAAATTTCAATTTGAATAATGTACACTCACTACTGTATTTAAAATATGCATTATACATATTGTATTATGTTTGTGTACTAAGTACAATATTTTATTAAAATCACTCAATAGTTATCATACATATGGCATATGGGTTTAATATATTAATTATTAGTTTACTAAAATCTCGCATTTTGATTTAGTTATTATTAAAATATAAGATTTATATTAATAATATTTATATATTATTCATCTTGTTTATATATTTTATTATTTAAGAATAATTTCTTTAAATTTTTAATTATTGTTGTTAATAATATACAGGGTGTTGATTATAACAAGCTATGACTGTATGTGCATAAAATCAATATTTTATAGTAATATTGTATTCAAAACGAAATGTTAAATAGTGCAAAATAAGTTTGCATAAAGCAATAAAAATAACAAAATTTTCAGTTTTTGATATTTAAATATAAAATATATGAATCCATAATAAATATTGATTTTATACTAATATTTAACATACTAAAGTATCACAAAAAATTACAAATTATGTTAATTGTAGTGAATTGACATTATGTATTTTATAGACTTTTATATAACTTTTAATATAAAATATCCCAGGTGACCCAGGGAATAAAATATCTATAATTATTTAAGTAATGAATTTGAGTATAATTTTCAAATAAAGTATTTGTAATTAGAAAGGCTTCATACTATGTTTGCTACTAAATTAATATAAATTACTTGCTCAATAAAGCATAATCTTGTTCATCATAAAATGCATATAAAACTCATAAAATTATTTAAAATACTAAATAATAATCCTTTCATATAATGAAAACACAAATGTCTTAAACACACCAAACATATTACGCTAAATAATAGGCGGCAATAAATTAACGTATTAAACGTCTTAACCTTTTGAAAACATTTACAAATTTAATACATTATAACACAAAAACCTTTAGTTTTATTATTTATTCAATAAATGCGTTAGTGATTTAACACACGCAAATACAAATTATGTCATTTGTATTTAAATTGTCAAAATGTGAAAACGCCAATTAGGCAAATTGTATGTAATTATGCAAAACGCACAAATACAATCGTATTAATGCGATAAGCTCATTTAAAGTTGAATTTTAAAAAAATCTAAAATACCATTTTAATTAATTCAGTTTAATTTCTATATGAAACGGTAATCTAACATAAAAATAGCTATAAATTGTACAGATTTTTAATGCATCGTAATAAGATTGCCTAACTAAAATGCCAGTAGATAATATTAGATTACTTGTCCGGGGTTATTAATCGGATTAGCCCTTCAAATAGTTTTGTTATTTTTAACAATGCTTTTAATTAAATGAAAATTTTTTATTTGTTTGACAGATATTACGCTATATTACATCCATTACGTCAATCGGGTTTCGTGGAGACCCGGGGTGTTTACATATTAGCGGGGATATGGATTGTAGGGGCACTGGTATCCATGCCTAACGCCATAACCACCCGGACGTCAACTTTTAAGTACAACTCCGAGATATATATGGACTGTAGGGAGGAGTGGGGTAATGGAAATGGCGGTGAAATTGTGAGTATTTTTGAAAATTTTAAAAAATATTAATTTTTATATTAATTTTCAACAATTTTAGTACAATTTATTATTTTTTAAAATTTTAAAAATAGTAGGCTAAATACTACCAAATAATCTATGTAATATTTTAGAAAATTAGTATATTACAGTTTGTTACATAATGATTTATAACATAAAGTTGAAATAATTTTTAATATTTATATAATAGTCTTAAACATTACTCAAAATTAAATTATAGCTAAATATGAAAGTCAATAACTAATGTGAATTCATGTTAAGTAATATTATAGCAATTATTATATTTAATTTGACCAAGCATAATTTGTATTACAGTACTCGACAGCCCTATTCCTATTCACATTCGCACTGCCATTATTCGCACTGATATTCATATACGGCTCCATAGGCTATACGATACTCACCCGCAAACCGGTGGGCGAGTCTCAACAGTTAGCCAACACTAGGAATATAGGGTCGATAAAGGTAGGTGCTCAATTTACTTTACTCACATTCATACTGTACGTACTAATGCTATAAGTAATACTAAATGTATATGAGCCTATTTTAATCAAATGTAGTATCACAAAAAAATGCTTTATTTTAGTCTTTACTCTTTAATCTTTAATCTTTACAGTAAGTTATATGTAAAGTTTAAAGCAATATTTGAAGATTAAAATTAAAGCTTTTTTGTGATACTACATTTAATTAAAATAGGCTTATGTATTTTGCTCATTGTATAAGTAATAACAAAAATATTTAATATATTTTTCATAATAAATAAAAATTACAGAATTTCTTAAAGAATATTCTATGAATTCTTATCAAATCAAAACTAAAAATACTTATGTGTTATCCTAAATATAATATAAACCTTAAGGGGTAATAGGAACAGGATATTAATAGACAACAAAGTTAATTAAAGATAAATATCTGGAGGCTAATACTGTATTAAGAAATCTTTATAAATGTATGATAATTAATAGTATAGTAGTACTGTACTAGTTTATATCTAATACAAATAACTCTAATCAAATAGTGAATGTTAAATTAATTTATATAATATTAATTAAAATAATTAATTGTTCATTGACATAAATTTAAGGGTAGTAATTGTTTATGTATTTGATCCAGGCAATCAAAATGATGTCAATGGTGGTGATATTATTCGCGATATGCTGGACCCCGATACAAATGTTCAATTTTGTGATCTGGATGTTTGGCGACTCGCTAAAGACCCGGACACAATTTCAGATGAATGTTTATGTGTCCAGTTTCTTTTTGTGCCACTGGCTAGCTATGGCCCACTCATTAGGTAGGTGCTCATTTTAAAATATAAATAAAATTCATTTAACTTAAAATTATACATAATTACTTACAAAGTACTTTTTAATTTAAAGCTAGAATAATAATTAAGATAGTAAATTTTTGGCAAATTATGAACACATTAATCAAAAAGTATACTTTGACTTTGTTGTATAGTACTGCACCATGGTAACTTACTTTTATTTATGAATACCCTAACAGAAAAGCAGAGTTGAAGTATTCATTTTAGTTTGATTACTGGGTTTCGCAAAAAAGTAGGAAATAGACAATGGCTTAGAATATAAATATAATATCTCAAAGACTTTAAGCTATTTTGGATGACATTTAAAATGAGACACTTTTCAGCCTGATTAGTGTCAATCAAATAAAATATAAGCTCTATTTCCTACTCATTATTTACAGCATAATAAAAGTTAAACAATTCCTATTCAAGAATATTCTTGACAAACAATAATCTCTCATAAATTCCTTAATAATCACAAGTATATTATGAAAGACTTAAATCTGTTTCTCATATCTAACTAACAGTCAATCCATTCATATATTGCTTTATGAGCGACAACTTCAGGGTAAGTCTCGAAATACACTTCTCATATTTAATAAGTATTTTGCATATCTTTCCCATACATAAACATCTAATCCCTTTCCCATTCATCCTATACCTATCATATTGTACTGTTCAGGCAATGAATAATATTTGCATACATTATATGAAATTATTAATACTTCTTATATAAGTCACAACACTTTCAAAGGAAATTAAATGCATTCATGAATACGTGAATCGTATGAAAAAACAATAAAATAAAATTTATTTTTGCGATTATGTTATGAATCTATTTATTGAGAGTTTTTTATTAAGATTATTCTCTCTCTCTCTCTCTCTCTCTCTCTCTCTCTTACTCACTCACAATAGGAATAAACTACTGTTTAATACAAATCTAATGTATCTTATAGATCCCGGTACAAATTACCACTTATGTAAACAAGCATAAAATCTAACAGCTAATAAACGTATCTTACTCCTGGGTAATCTAATATAAATGCATTTACAAATACACCGAATATTCTGTAGGCAAACTTGTCACGTTAACACTTCATTATAAGGTGTATACATTATAATGTGAATACCATTAGTCAATATAAATATCATGGATAATACGGTCGTCCATTCTCACTCTACCATTGACTATCCCTAGAGTCGACTGTCCCCTTAAGGGACGGATACGACTAGACTGTCAATAAGATAATAATATATATTTTTGGTTGTCTTATTTTCAAAACAATGTGTCTACAGTTGTATAAATAAACTAATAAAGTACAACAAATTAGGTTTTAAAAACACCTGGAGCATTATGTTACAGGATTTTAATGTTTAATCTATTTTTCAGGTATCAAATAAATTTATATTGTATCATACATTATTAAGCTATAATAAAGTGTCATGACAATGAATAATAAGCTACTAGTAAATATTATGTAACATTTAAGTTAAATCTTAATATGATTTTTATATTAATGTTTTTAAATCCTTTTCTCGGAAAACATTATTAAATTTAAAAATTTAACATAAATCCCTATTGTATACTTTTTAAAAATATTTTTAAAACATTGTTTTTAAAATTAAAATATCAAATAACAGAATATTATCAAAACAGCATTATACATTATATAAAAATCCTAACAATACATTTACTTAAATCTACTAATAGCCATATAAAATAGTTACGAAATAAATAATAAGTTTACAATACAGTATTACAAAACTATTGTGAAACGGGATCTATAAACATTGGGACTAGGATTTAGATCCTGAAAAATCATTAAATGTATTGTAAAAATCCATTTTACATGTCATTATAAAATACATTTTGAGTGTTATATTAGGTTTTTACTACATTTATAGCGAAAATAACATTTTCGTTGCGAAATATACGCAACCTTTTTGTCTAAAACTTTTTCATATAAATTATAGATTACTAGTTCACTACCGTTGAGAATAACATGATACTTTTATTGCACAATAGTGTAAAAATACACTTAAATTAAATTTAATACATTAAATATTTAAAATGCTATTGTAAGAAACACTTAAGTGTATTTGTTAGCGTGTATTGTTTAGCAGAGTGTAAACATACCTTGAAGGTTAACACTAAAAATATATCTGTTTTTGCTAGTTTGATACATTTTGCTCTGTTTTAAAACTTTTGTCTATATGTTAATCTGGATAACATTTCAAAATGTTTGTATAGGATATAAATTGTTATGATTGTTATCATATGGTTTCGAGAGAGAGAGAGAGAGAGAGAGAGAGAGAGAGAGAGAACTATTTAATTGCAATAACTTATAAATAGGTTTATTT